AATACATCAAGTCTCATGTCACTTATCTAGCCTGACTTTTCTCCATTGTAAGTATTGCTAATATCAGACATTCTGCTAACACTAAAACATGGACAGAAAAACCAAACAGGACTGAGAAGACAAGGTTCAAGTCCTTTCTCAGCCGGTAGCAAGCTAAGTAACCTCAGGTAAGTCATTCTACATTACTGGCTCATCTCCTTATGTGTAGTCATGAAAGACAACCAGAAGGATAAATACTAACGGGGAGTGTCAGGCACGGCACTACATGTGGCTTCAAGCAGCATTCACACCAGTCTAATGAGGGAGATGCTTTTACAGGGGAGAAATCTAATGCTCAAAGAAATTATTTTGCCCAAGGTTATGCAGATAACTATGCATTAGACTTAAGATTTCTAAGTCTCAGTAAAGTGTATTGTAGTGCCTCACCAATATTTTAAACTGCAAATTGCCTCATTAAACTCTTGTTGCTAAAAACACAATACCAGACTGGATAAATCATAAAGAAACTGATTGCTCTGGTGCAAGATCAAGGGGTTCCCTCTCGCAACTGATCACCTTTCTTGCTGGCAGAGTCCCAGCACAGCAGAAGTCATCACCTATTGAAAGGCGGAGTTTGCAAGAAACCTAGCCACTGTTTAGAAAGGCCCATTCTTCAGATGACTTACTAATCACAGAAGCAGAGGCCTAAGCATATTACCTCCTAAAGGTTCCAGCTCATCACTTCATAATGGGGACTAAATTTTATGAATTTTGGAGGAGACAAATCATATTCAAACCATAGTACAGAGTTTACATTAATTTATAAACTGAAGCTGCTACAGCAAACAGAAACACCAAAGTGACCCCCAGGATTTGGAGGCAGTTTAACATAGGTGAGCACTGATCAGGGTCATTCCCAAAATATCAGGCCCTGATCTCTGGTGGTGTAGGGTTTGTAAGGGTTAAACAATCAGGAAGTAGAGGCAGAATGGCTTGTTAATTGGGAATGGGTTCTTACAGTATGCATCACAGTGACCAGCTGTTTCTAAGAGACCAAAGGAACTGGAACTGGAACTATGACTTAGACAACTAACAAACTGAAATACACTGGCAGGGGTGGGGTGGTGGAGGATCTTCTGCTACACTGCCAGCCTAAAAACTCTAAGAAATACTTGAAGGCCATTATAAATGTAGTTAAAATAGTGAAGTTAAAATTTTTTCTGAACTTAAAATTCCAATCAACACTAGATACTGTGCACACAAAGTTAAATAATATGGGATCTTTGCCTTCAACCTGACACTATTATCATAATGCTGACAGTATAAAACACAGAATTCAAAGGAATAGTTGTTGTTGCTAAAAACAAAAGGGCATTAGAGAGGCTTTCTGGAGGCAATGATACTTCTGCTCTTTTAACGAGACAAAAAAGCATTGCATTCCCAGTAATGCAACCAGTGTGTGAGAAGACAATACAAAATAATACTACGCACAGTAAAACTTCAGGCTGTAACTTGTTCCATGAGTGTTCTACAAGATAAATAGTTCTAATACAATTTAACTTGCTAAATGAGCAGTATTTTGCAAAATGAGTAGTACCTGATGCTGAATATCACATGGTCAGAACTGAGCCAATGGTTCTCCACCTCACTACAGGATTATGGGTGATCATTTCCCAACAGCAAGAGATTATGGAGCTTTCATCTGCAGAGGACAAAAAGTTGGAAAAATCCCTCACTTCAAATGAGATTAGAGATGCATAAAATGTGGGAAAGTACAAATTTTGTAGAAAAGCACCACCCAAAAAAAGCTTGTATCAATGCAAGCAATTGATCTGTAACACTGCAATGTTACATTCCCACAAAATACTCAAAAACAAGCAAAAACTCATTAGATAGGTTCCGTTAGTTGCATGAAGATTTGATTGAGGCTACAAATAGAAGTGATTCCATTAGTGAGGGTAAAAGTCCTACACAATAAACCTTATCTCCCTCATATAGTCACAAAGGTTTTCAAAGTGCAAGTTTTTCTTTACAGTTTGTATTTTATTATTTTGTACTACAGTAATCATTTTTATATGAATATTTAGGGTTGTGGAATGAATCATTTGGGTTTCCATTGTGTCTTATGGGAAAATTTGCTTTGACACTCAAAACCTTTAAGACTATACGCATGTTTCTGGAATGAATTAGGCTTTCACATCAAGGTTTTACTATATTTGGTATGACTAATGGAAGAGTAAACAAGGACATGAGGGAGAAAAAGTTAAGATATTTTGAGTCATTCTCATCTAAAAACTGGTCAGAGAAACAACTGTTTATCAACTTTTAAGTACATTTTCTAAGACCACATATATTTATGTTAACACATAAAATAATTAATAAATCCTTTATACTAGTCCAAATAATACACCATCAAAGTTCTTTTTTTTTACTTTTCCTTTTTGTCAGTACCAGGGATTGAACTCACAACTGCCTGCTTGCAAGGCAGGTGCTTATGCCGCTGAGCTAAATCCCCAGCCCCACCATTCAAGTTCTGATGTTCTGTGAGTAAGCCAGTCACCACCTCACCAGACCTATACATAAGTCCTTTCTGTAGAAATGATTTAAGATTAACCAGGACGACCAACAGGTCCTCTGATTCTTATGTCCAAAAGTTTTAAGATCATAAAAATGTTTATTATTGAGACATTATGTACACTGGTGACATACAGAACATACTTACAGTTTCAAGAGACAGGATCTCATTAAGGCACTGAATTTGATCCTAACTGCCTCAATCTCCCAGAGTACTGGGATTACAAGTATACACTACCATGATTGACTGTAAAAACAATCTTAATCCCTTTTACATCACATTAAAAGTTAATTCTAGGTGCACTGTAGACCTAAATGTAAGATGTATGAGTGATGTTTTTTAAACTTTCTGCAATAGACATGTCCTATAAATCCACTGTTCTGTATGGCATGGCAGCTAATTACTATGTAACTGAGCACACAGAATCTATCTAGTGCAATCATGAATGTTATCAAGTGAATCATAAATTTTATCTATAAATATTAGGTCTCTGTTTATTAAAAGACATCAAGCAAGCAAAAAGACAAGCCACAGGTAGGAATAAAGAATCTACACAAATTAGGGGCTGTGGATATAGCTCAAAGGCACAGCGCCTTTTTAGCAAGTATGAGTTTAATCCCTGGTATCCAAACAAACAAAAAAAAACCATGGGGGGCCAGGGGTTTAGCTCATCAGCACAAGCACCTCCCTGGCAAGCATGAGGTCATGAATTTGATCTCCAATACCCCCCCCCCAAATCAACACAAGTCATTTAAGAGAGACAAGACCACCTTTGTACCCACAAGAATATGTAAGACAGTCATCAAGAAACCACAAAATGAAACCTGTGATACCATCACAACTCCAGAAACAAAAACTGAATCCCAAACAAAAGCAAAACATGCACTACTTGGAACTCGCCTACACTGGTAAGAGTATATTTTAATATAACTATTACTATCTACTAACACTAAATAGCTGCATAATCAGCAATTTGATTCCTATTAATTACTCAAGTAATAAACACGTAGTATTGACTAAGAGACAAGTACAAAAGTGTTCCTGGAAGCATTAGTTGTAAGCTCAAGCAATACAGTATCTACCAAGAATAGGTTGGAGAAAACTTCAAGGGCCTAAAAAACAAGCAAAACTAATCTATGGGGTTAAAAGTCAAAGACAAGCAGAATAGGCTGGGAAGTGCTTGAGATCTTATGTGGCAAGGGTAATTTCTTTCTGAAATGGATGTTTCCTCTCTGCAAATTCATTATGTTCTTTCTTTTCGTATCTCATTACTGCTGTGTGCAAGCACCATTCTGTCTGCCAGCCAGCTAGCCAGGCATTCTGCCGTAAGTACAAAACAACTGTATGTTCTGACAGTTTCAGGGTTGACCTAACTTGAGTCACCTATTCTGCTCATTTGAACCCCTGGACTAAGAACAAAGAAAATCAGTGGTTTTCAGGAAAAGAAGGGTGGGGTTGCTCAGGCAAAAACATGAGTATATCTAGGGAATCTTCAGTTTCTTACTGATATATGTCATCAAACTAAGTAGGTTTATTTTAAAGAGTAATCTATAGCTTTTCCTGTCTATTCAAACTGCTTTGTGAAAGTCTCTGAACTTCTGGGAGAGGGAAACTGACGGTTTCTTATCACATCTCTTTGACTTAACCCTCTTTAGACTATCTTGTACACTATGATCAAATCAATCTTCCAAATGCACAGGTCCCAATTACGAAACAATTCTAATGAAGAAACTATACTTACTACCAAAGTTTAAAAGTTTTAGCCTGAGCCGGGCGTGGTGGCTCATGCCTGTAATTCCAGCACTTGGGAGGCTGAGGCAGGAGGATCGTTTCAAGTTCGAGACCAGCCTGGGCTACAAAGTGAGCTTAAGGCCAGCCTGAACTGCATGGCACGAGACCCTGTCTCAAAAAAGACCAAAAAAAAAAAAAAAAAGTTTTAGCCTGTCACTTGTGGGATCCCATGACCTCACCCTAAGTCATATAGAAAGCTATATTTACAGTAAGCTGCTACCCCTCCGTGAAAGTCGGGTCTTTTCAGAATTTGTCATTAGTAATGTATTTTATATTAGGATACAATATTTACAGTGTCAAGAGATCTAGGCATTCTTTCCTAGTTTCTAACAGTATATCTATGAATGTTAAATCTAATAAGTATCATGAGAGATAAAAACAGCTTTTTCTTCATGAGAAGACCTATTTAGAAAACTACTGTCTCCACAGCAATTCTTCCATTTTCCATCAGTAATTTACAGTGTGTAACTTTCAAAGACTTAGCAATTCTAGTTTTTGTGGATATACAAATAGAACCTGTAACAAGGTACACTACTTTTTAAAAAGTATATGAAAGATGTTCAAAACTAGGTTACCTCGACATTTATGTTAAAAATGTCTCCTTTTTCATCCTTAGTATAAATTTATATATAACCAATTTAGTAACTTGTCAAAGTTTCAGAATTACAAATTAATTTTATTAACTACAACAATAAAAGGAATTGTGACATAAAAGTGAAATTACTTTTAAAATTAAAGCATGAATTAAAGTACATATTTATTTTTCTTTAAGCCAAGTATGGGCTGAAAAATTAAACAACACACTTGATCTACATTTTATAGTTTAATACAAGTTTCAGATCATAAAGTATAATAATTTTCCTATTCTTCAAATTTTTGCATATTTTTACTTAAAATATAATATTTATAAAACTAAACCGCTACTGTTACAAAAACAACATTATTAGGAAAGTTGTTTACTTTTTAATGGTGGCAGTATAGCCAATTTTCCTTATTAAGTACTTGCAGGGATATAGACACTCGGTTCCTGAATACAACCAACAATATGGGATTGACAAAGAAATACTATATATATACATACATATATACATACATACATACATACATATTTCTAGTCAAACAGTCAAAAGACTTTTGACTTCAATTTTGAAAACACATTTTAAAATATTCTCAACTACCGTTAACACATTTCATCATGCCTTCACTGAACAAAGTCCTAGGAGTTACAATGTCCTGTGCTCCCACATGTCTTTGTGTTGGGGCAGCCATTAATCGTCTTCTTTCTCAATATAGGTCTTTGCATTAGCCCGGGCCATCTGCCTGGCCAAATATCTATCTCTGGCTGACATTACAGTTTCTTCATTACTTCTCTTTGCAAACTTGCTCACTGCCTCTGGTGGTCTTTCTTGTTCTCTGTCCTGCTCTTGCCTTTCCTCTGAGAGTCTGTGTTTTGCTCCCAGAGATGTTTCAGAACCAGAGGGCTTCTCTTGGTATCTTTCTTTGTTCTTTTCCATATTCCTCATTTTGTTGGCTTTCTCATGGTCAAGAAACTCTTCCTTTGCCTTAGAATTTGATCTGCCTTCTTTTTTGTGATTTCTTTCTGAAGAATGAACACTTGTTTCCTGTTTTCCCCTATCTCTGTATTTATCATTATTTTCATATCTTTCCTTCCTTACAGGTTTCATGTGTTCTTCCTTTTCTTTGTTCTTCTTTTCCTTCTCCCCATGTCTCTCACTGTATTGATCATGATCATTTCGTTGTCTGTCTCTTTCTTGTTCTCTTGAAGAATATTTCTCTCTTTTCCATTCTCTGTCATTTTTTTCTCTCTGGTCTCCCCGTGGTTTATCTTCTTGTTCATGCCTCTTCCAGTGAGAATCTTTATGGCTGGCTTCTTTGTGTTTATGAGAATCCTTTACTGTTCTGTGGTCCCGGTCAATATAACAGTTTTCCTGGTCTCTGGACTGCCTCTCTTGGGGATGATATTCCCTTTTATCATGCCCTCTGGACTTTGAACCCTTGGTGTGGTATTTGGTACTATGCCCTCTTTCTTCACTAGATGATCTTGAGTGGTTTTGGTTCTTGAGATGCTTAGAGTAATTCCTGGAGGTCTCTGTGACTTTTGACCTTCTGCAATTCACTTTATTTTCTTCCATTTCATCATCTTCACTGCTTTTAGTATCAAAATCACTATCGGCATCTGGATTTTCTTCCTCCATCGCACGAGTTTGAAGAACACATCTTTCCTGTGGTATTCTGTTTTCTGAATTTACTTCATCTAAGTAACCTCTTGATTTCTCTTCCTTTATTCCAGAACTTTATAAACAAAAAAATGTCTTATTAGTTATGGAAAGGGTTCATATAGTTTTTCTCAATACTTAGATCAATACAACTCTATACATACTTTTTGATTATCCAAATGCAAATATGTGATGCTTGTTTACTTTGCACCTCACACATCTTTAATATTCACAGAATGAAACAGACAAAAATCTGTCCTTCTATATTGGACCAATAAAACCTTCAGGTAGGGATCTATAGAATGTTCTAAGCCTAGACAAACAGGGAATAACAGAAGAAAGAAAGACATGTTCTGGATCTAAGTTCTTCACAATGTGAAGTTCAAGCTGGGATTCTGTTTTGTTTTGTCTTTTTTGAGACGGGGTCTTGCTATGCAGTTCAGACTGGCCTTGAACTCACTTTGTAGCCCAGGCTGGGCTCGAACTCTCAAGGATCCTCCCATCTCAGCCTACCAAGTGCTGGGATTACAGGTGTGAGCCACCATGCTCGGCTTTTTATTTCTTTTAAAAACATTAAAAAATACTATTAGAAATATGTGAAAATGATTATTTTACAGCAAAACAGCGGCAAAATAAATTTTCTTTTCTTTTAGATGGGGTTTTACTATGCTGTGCAGATTGAATTCCTGGGCACAGGGGATCTTTTTGGCTTATGTTCCCGAGAACTGGGACTATGTGCATGCAGCACTGCACCAGCCTCTTACATATTACTCATTAATCTTTCACATTACTCACATATTCATTCTTACTAATCACTTACTACATTCATACTAACTCATACTAACATACTAACTCATACTCTTACTAATCACTTACTACACTCATACTAACAGTACAACAACTTTTGTTCTCTTGTAATTGCTGGCAGAGTTTCTTAGCTAAAGCATTCACTACTAGTTAGGAAACCAATGATTAAACTCTAAAGTACACTATAAATGATGGTATGAAGTTTCATGGGCACTATCACTACAATAACAAACGCAACATTCACAAAGTTATGATGTATTACAATTTACATTCAGAAGCTAAATCTTCAAATGTATGTCCTTAGACTCAAACTTCTCTCATCAATTCTAGAATCAAAACCTGTCCGGGGTGGGGGAAATCAAAAGCAAAAATCTGATTCTCTCTTCTCACTCTTAATTCTATTCTCCCATCTCTCTCTTATTTACTAGAAATACGGACTTGCATCTTCTAATCAGAATGTTTCTTTTCAAAAGTTTATTCACATACATGTTGAGACAACTTTTTTATCTTTTGTCATATTAGTTATGGCATGATCATCTTATTATTCCTTTAATACCTCTTAATTTTATTTTAAAAATCCTGATGCTTTGATTTTGAGGCCAGCATTATTTAACAGAAATGTAGAAGTGTCTAGAGAACAGTAATATATGTATCTGATCTATCCAGTATGGCAGTCATTAGCCACACATGGCAGCTGAGTAAGTAAAATGTGGCTTGTGTTGACTAAAAGTTTAGATTTTCTTTATATTTATTTATTTTTATTTTTTTGAGACAGGGACTTACTATGTAGTTTGGGATGGCCCTGAATTCATTAGGTAGCCCAAGCTGGCCTCAAACTGTTTCTCTTGCATAAGTCTTCTGAGTGCTGAGATCACAGGTGTGTGCCAGCATGCCTGGCAAAGACTTTATAGTTACTAGTAGTTACATACTGGACAATATAGTTTTAGCCTCTGATATAAGAACTATATTTCATGGGGACTGGGTCTATCCATAAAACAGTAACAAAACACTCTTATGTATTATCTGAATATGCATATACAATGCTGTGCCTGATTCCCAATTTCTCCTTAATTCTGACAGCAACCATTTTATGGCACCAGGGCATAAAAGATACCTATAATTTCAATTTAAAAAAGAGAAAAAGATGAGCATAATTTGGCTTTGCTTCTTCATTAAAATTATTTATAAGATTCATAAAGCATTTATATATTCAGAAATTTTGTACATTAGGAATTTTTTCTTTCTTTCTTTCTTTTTTTTTTTTTTTTTGCGGTACCGGGGATTGAACTCATGACCTCACACTTGCCAGGCAGGCGCTTATGCTGCTGAGCTAAATCCCCAGCCCTACATTAGGAATTTAAATTGGAATTCATGAACTGCAGAGAGAACCAGGTCCTCAAGGAGATGATCCTTTGCCTGGAAACCAGTAACATGCAAGAGCCGCTGGCAGAGTGGGGACAGCCATATCCACGTCTCTCTCCATGAGCACCATTTGTGGATTGCAGGGTGGGGGGTTGGGATCAGGCCTCATCAGGAAGCCATTTTGGATTTACTATTAGCTTATTTTAAAGTCCTTTATTGTATTCATTGTTTTATTTTTGTGGTCTGGGGATCGAACACATAGCCATGCGCTTGCAAGGCAGGCGTTTATGCTACTGAGCTAAATTCCCAGCTGCATTCACTGTTTTATTTTTATTATTTCTAGTCTATTCTGTTCTGTTCGATTTTTTTACTATGTCTGAAGGTATCTGCAGCTAGTTTGTAAACAACAAAAGGCATTATGGTAATTATTGCTGATTTTGTAAGGCTTTGAAGTCCTGTACCACTTATACTAGTTTATTCTGATTGGCTTTATTGTTTTATTTTCCTTGGTTTTATCCTCTATGAAATAAAGTAAAATAAAATAAAAGAATTTAAATTGGGCTGGGGACGTTGCTCAGGATTAAGAGGGATTGCCTTTTACGCATGCACAGGGTTCAATCCCTAGGACTAGTCCCCTGTGAAAAGTGCTAACTTTGATTTTAGAAACAACTGAGAATATTGATATGTAAATTATAATAATTTTTGTGAATTGTAGAATAAAAAAATCTTGAAGTAAATATATATGTTTTAAAATTAATAAACTGGAGCCAGAGATTTGGCTTAGTGGCACAAGCACCTGTCTGGCAAGCATTAGGTCATGAGTTCGATCCCCGGTGCTAAAACAAAACAAAAAACAAAAAAACAAAATAAAAGTAATAAACTGCAAATTCCTAGAGATTCCAATTAGGTCAAACTGGCTGACAATACAACGTACAATGCTGTAATTTTCAATCTATCTTTCAATTAAAATAGCCCTATAAACTTTATACCCACAGATTATTTAACAGTACCTTTCTTCTAAATATTCCATTCCATTTGTCATCACTCACCTGGCTTCACGAAAGCTGCATTTTGGTAGTTCTTCTTCACCAACTGCTTGATTTAAGAGGTGTCTATAAAATCCACTGAGATCTTTCTGCTTGGTTACATCCAAACGTGCTAAAAGAGGAAAACAAAGAAAAAATATAGTATTCAATAAAGCACAGAGCAATTTTGTTTACATTATGTAGAATGTACATGATCCATAGATGTATGTATGTACAAACTATTTTTCTAGATCAGGAGTTGGCAAACTATAATCTTTAGGCCAAATGTGACCTGCTGCCTGTGTTTATAAATAAACTTTCATTGTAACATAGCCTGTCCATTTGTTTATATATTGTCCACCGCTAGTTTTGCACTATAAAGGAAAAACTAAGTACTTGTGATACAGATCAGATGCCTAAAATGTTTACTATCTGGTCCTTTAAAGTTTGCTAACTGGTGGTTCTACATGAACAATACACAGTAGATGTTTAGACAGAATCTTACAGATAGGTTTTCTTTCACTTAAAGATGAAGAACACTTGCCAACTAAATTGCTTGTAAGTATACATACTACTTAGGAAGTAATCATGAATAGAAAACACTAAAATAAGCCACTAAGATATTCTTTAGTCCCTGTACATGTGTCATATTTATTCTTTTTTCAATTAATGTTATTCATTTTCTAACTACCCCATTGATCTCCTTTAGTGGTGAGGTTATTATCAAAAAATTAAGAGTTTAAAGTTACAATGCATTTGACAATGTTATAATGTTATAACTTGTAATAAATGTTTTTTCAATTGGAATCATGTAATAAGCCAACAACTTCTAATGATCATAGTGAAATCAAAATGGGAATCAAATGAAAAGTCCATCAAAAATAACAGTTAATGAAGAGTTATAATTACTTTATAACCTAAAAGTTCAGTGCCAGAGCCAATGGCTAAGTGAGGGTAAGGATTCTGGTTTCCCTGTACATTTGTTCCTCCCATTTTACCTTCTAGTGCAGCAGCCCTTCTTTCTCTTTCTTCTTCTTCAGCTCTTTCTTGCAATTTTTTTTTATATGCAGATGTCACAAATGCCTCTTTATCATCAAATTCTCCTTTTTCCATTTCTCGTTCTCTCTGTATTTTTTTTTCCATTCTTTTTTCCTGTTCCTTTTTTCTGATCTCAACTGCTTTTAGTAAGTTGTGGATATACTTGGGCTAAAGGAGAAGAATAAAAGAGTATGTAGGAAAGGGTCAAAAATAATACTGTTATAATTCGTATAATCAATTTATTAGTATAGAAATGGCTAGCCCAAATAGTATTGTCGTTTCACCAATATTAAAATTATTTTCAATAAAAATTTAAGTGTAACACAGAAATCTTTACTATTTTACAAATGATCAAGGTAAGTAAACATTTTTCTGTTTCCTGTCATTATCTTAATAAACTGAATCACAAAAGTTCCTAATTTTTCACGGCAGAAATATATTAATAGTAGCTTTAACTCTGTTACCATCACTCTTCTTGTACGTAGTATTAGTTGCAAAGATCCTCAGTCTGTGCATGTGAAAGAACAAGAATCATAAAAAGAAAATTTGAACTTATTTCAATACCTACCCCCACGGTTTTTTTCAAATTGAAAACAGTATCATATTAGGTATAGGCAAATAATTCAGTTACTAGCTAGGAAGCAAAAGAAAACTGAGAGGATAATAAAGCATGTAGTATTAAAACACATTAACATGTACAAGGCATGGGCAAAGTTTGGTACATAAAATTTATAAGGAAAAATTTTCAAAACATTTAACAAAACAGTAAGATTATTCAATTACTGTGAGGATATTGTATGTAAGGCTTCCTTGGCCCTCAAAGCAAATCAATAATCTGAAACTAGAGGTGCTTCACATATTTTATATACTTTATCAACATCTGGACACTACTGCATATGTTTAGCTTTTTCTCAGATGATTTTTTTATCAGTGCTGGGGATTGAACTCATGACTGCGTGCTTGCAAGGCAGGTGCTTATGCCGCCAAGCAAAATCCCCAGCCCCTCTCAGATGATTCTTATCTCTCAATAAAATTAAGATATAAAATACATGTCAAAGTAAAAAAAAATTCATATTTTGCTACCAACCTTTCTATCTCTTCCCAATAGTAATTTGGGATTACTTTCTTCTTTTTTTTTCTGCATCTCATCATAAATGCTGTCATATTCATATACAGTGGAATCTTCTGCAAGGGCCTTCTGCATCTCCAGTTTGGTCTTAAAAAAAAAAAAGTTTAAAAACTATGAACCAGACAACAGAGATCACCAAAAGTCCATGTATATGTTTTATTTAGAAAGGATCATAAATTAGAAACGTATCACAAAAATTGCATCAGTCCCATTCTATATAGAAAAACATGAATGTAAACTCTGGTGCTAGGCTGCCTAGGGTTGAATCTAGCTCTACAATTACTACTTATGTACTTTGGGCAAGTCTGCTTCGATTTTTTTTGTGCCTTTATTTTCTTCAGCTAAAAGAGTGAGGCTAGCTGGGTGTGTGGTGTACTTCTGTAAAAAGCATTAAAGTTCAAATTCAGCTTCAACAACACAGTGAGACTGTCTCGAAATAAAAAGAGGTAGGAACATAGCTCAGTTGTGAAGGCCCTTATTTAATCACCACTACAATTAACCATATGAAAAGTTCTAAGATGTGACAGATAAACATCTAATCTTGGTTTTATGACAGCTGCTTTTTTTTTTTGATGTACTAGGGATTCTGATGCTAGGCAAGCACTCTACCACTGAGCTACATCTCTCGCTTCTTTTTCACTTTTTTCCCCAACTCAGTAGTGGGATTGAACCCAGGGTCATCACACTTACTGTATAACCTTAGTTCGCCCTTTATCTTGAGACAAGAGTCTTGCCAAGTCATTCAGCTGTCTAGGGTGGGCTTGAACTTGTGACCCTTTTGCTTCAGGTTCCCAAATTACTGGGATTACAGGTATGTGCTTGTTGTAGTCAAGGGTTGTAAGAACAATAATTAGAACCAGGACACAGAATATCTAATTTTATGATGGTCACCCAGAGTTAACACAGAAAGTGCAAGAAGTTTGTTCATAACACTAAAGACTCAGAATATTCAGCCAAGGGCCTGAATGCCACAGCAATGTCCTGAATGAGTCCAGATGAAAACCTAAAGCCCAGGACAATGCCTCTCATGAGCCCAACTGGAGGTCCAGAGCCCCTGAGAAGGACTAACACCAGTCTGTTTTACAGATCCATGCTGGGAAGGCCCAAAGGTCAGTGGTGAAAGCTACAAAGTCTCTGCCAGCAGGGTGAAGGAGCTATGCTGGTTGATTGAGGGTTCTACACTGGAGCAGAGAAGTCATGCTCATAATAAAGTCCAGGGATGTCCTGAAAAGAACTACAGCCATCCTCAGCAACATGGAGGTCCCGAGCTCCTCCGATGATAAGAACAGTAGAGTATATGCCAGGAAGCCAGCATGACGAATTTCTCCTGGAGATTAAACATGTCTTCCCCTCCAGAGCCAGGAAGCGATGCTGGATGTAAGGATCAGAGCTCTCCCAAAGTGAACCACAGCCACTCTCACCAATAAGATCCCGAGCTCCTCCGATGACAATGGTTGAACTTACACTGGGAAGCTAGTCATGATGAGTACCTCCAGGAGAACCAACGGCTCAAACAGCAACACTTAAGAGACCCACAATGCCTAGCTTCATCTTCTCTGCATCTGTATTTATGCTGGCAATTTTTCTCAGGTGGAACACCTGACGCTTAGCACCACACTGATTTAATTCAGCTGGTGTTAAATTGACCCCAGTTTTTAATCTGTAACAACGCTACAACACTCAGGTCATAGCACCTTTTTTTTTTTGACACAACATGTCACTATGCAGTTCAGGCTAGCCTTGAACTCACTCTGTAGTCCAAACAGGCCTCGAATTTGCAGCGATTCTCCTGCCTCAGCTTTCTGAAGGCTGGGTTTATAGGCACATGCTACCACATCATCTTTTATAAGTTAGTTTGTGCAATAAAATGTTTAGTTTTAAAATATCTAATGGCAAGAAATACTTGGAAGGTAACTCAATGCTAGTGTACCCCTGGGTTCAATCCCTAGTGTAATAAAATCCTCACATAAAAAAGTTTCTCAATATAGTAGCAACATGGGGCCATTTGTAATTTACTAATTTAAAAAATATTTTATAGGTGGTGCACACCTGTAATCCCAGAACTCAGGAGGCTGAGGCAGGAAGATTGTTATGGGTTCAAGGCCAGCCTGGAGTACACAGTGAGTCCAAACTAGCCTGAATTACATAGCAACACCCTGTTTCAAAAAAGAGAAAAGGGCATTTTTGTAACATCAGTGATAAATAAAGTCCTCTGCCTTTATGTTATTTCAACCTTAATTGGTTTTTGTCCTCTTTTTTTTCGGTTCTTTGCCCTCTTGCAGGCCATCAAAATTTTATCCAGTTTCAAGGCCAGCTCAACCCCTGCATCTTAAATAAGGACATTTCTAAGGTCTTAATACTCAATGATTTTTCTTTGAAACTCTGATGGAACATTCTATACTACAATATTTAACTCAATGATATACTTGATGTTTTTACTTTGAAACTATTGTATAAAACTGAGCCCCTTGTCCCAGCTTGTAAGTTTCCAAGGTAGAATCTACATACTTGAACTTTTTCTTGAATGTCTACATTGCCCAATACAGTGTGGAACACACACGAAAAATCCTTTTAAAATGAAATAGTGATACTGAGAGAGGCTCTGGTAGGAGAATCATAAATTCAAGCCCAACCTGGGTAACTTAGCAAGAATCTCTATCAAAATAAAAAACAAAAAAGGCCCGGGAGCCAGGTGTGGTGGCTCATGCCTGTAATCCCAGCACTTGGGAGGCTGAGGTTGGAAAATCGTTACGAGTTCGAGACCAGCCTGGGCTACAAAGTGAGCTCAAGGCCAGCCTGAACTGCATAGAGATCCTGTTTCAAAAAGACAAAAAAAAAAAAAGGCCTGGGAACATTGCAAAGGCCCTGGGTTCAATTCTCAGTACCAAGGCAAAAATAAAAATTAGAAAACCCTTAGGCCTGAGTTTGAGATTAATCAGGACCATGGACATTATTTGTGAGAAGCCTAAAATATTATGTATGAAAAAGTGCTAGGAAACACTAGGTTCTTGAATTGACTTTTCTTGGTAGGTAAATGTTAGATAATTATAAAACCATGAAACAGCACTCTCTCTCTCTCTCACACACACACACACACACACACACACACGAAGGCATGCATAAAGATGCAAATAATTTTACCAATAAGAATAACTGGGATTTAGCTCAACAGCAAAGTGCCTGCCTGACACATGCAAGGTCATGAGTTTGATACCCAGGACCAAAAAAAAAAAAAAAAAGAAAGAATAACTAAAAACAGTAAGTGAAAGAAGTCAGTGTGTGAAAGCAGAGATGGTTTAATCTATAGCCAGCAATAAAGAGCCAATTCTTAGCCAGGAATGCAGTTCAGTGGTAGAGTACATATCTAACATGTATGAGGCCTTGGGCTCAATCCTCAGCCACCTTCCCTTTTCTTTTCTTTTTTTGGTCCTGGGGATTGAACCCAAGACCTTGAGTTGGTACTTAAGCCACTGAGCTAAATCCCTGGCCCCATTCTCCCTTTTCAAAAGCTAATTCTTTTATTCTTCAGCATGACAGGAAAAGTCTCTAATTTGTATAAAGCAAGACGTATTCTTACACATTTTTAGAAATACAATAGTCAAAATACAATTATTTCACTACACATATGTACTTTGCTTTGGTCTAACCACTTATATGCCAAAACTGGCATTTAAAAATATGAGTCAAAATACTTTACCAAATACACTTCAATCACCCACCTTACCTGTTTCATAGCCTGCTTCTTTGCAGCTTCCCTCTGAAGACTTTCACTTACCGAGGTCTATAAAACAGAAAAATGTTACAGTTGTTAAAACGTTTAAAATTTCTCAGTATTCAGGTTAGCAACTGGTTACTTATAATTAAATATGCAAAGATAACATAAATATCTTCAAAGTTTTTTCCCTGTTATGTAACAAATGAATTTTCACTGTTATTCATCAGAATAGACTAAGAAATAAAAGAAAACAGAATAAGTGGAGTAAAAATTGAGGAAATAGATTTTTAGTCTCAACTTCACAAGTCATTCAACCTCTTTGGATTTAATTTGCTTTGGGCACACATGTATGTGTATGTGAATATACGTTACATGAAGGAAGGCTGGACTAGATAATCTTTTTTTTTTTTGTCTTTTTGAGACAGGATCTCACTATGCAGTTCAGGTTGGCCTTGAGCTCACTTTGTAGCCCAGGGTGGTCTTGAACTCACAACAATCCTCCTGCCCCAGCCTTGCGAGTGCTGGGATTACAGGCGTGAGCCACCACGCCCGGCTTAGATAACCTTTCAAGTGTCTTCTAACACCAAAATGATTCTTAGCAACAAAAGGCTTATTTTAATATTCACTACTCATTATAGTATATGGAGCTTTTGGTTTATACATAAGCCTTACAGGCATCAAGAATTATCTGTAGTTATAATCACTCACAAAATATGTACTAAAAAGCCTTTTAAACCAGGTGGTCCTTAATTCTAGGTTCTTAGGATAATGTAAAAGCAAAGCCAGTATCTGTTTTTGAGAAGTAAATGGCCTGAAAGAGAAAATACATAACTAAAGAGATAATTATAACTTCAATGTGATGCACAATATAGAACTTGTCTCTCAAAACAAAACAAACAACTCAATGTAAAGGTCCTGGATTTAATTCCCAATACCAAAAGAAACAAACAAACAAAAAAACCCAGAGTTCCTGTGTAGGAATAATAAACCCATCAAGAAGGAAATCAGAAAAAAATCCCATTCATAATAGCTTCAAAAAAATTAAATACCAACAAATCAAACTAACTAGAAAATGAAAGACTTCCATAAAGAAAATTATAGAATTCTAAAGAAAGAAATTACAGAGGATGTTAGAAAATAAAAAGATACTTTGTTCTTGGAATGGAAAAATACTGTGAAAATGGCATTTTACCAAAAAGTAATGTATAGATTTAATGCAATATCTATTAGAATACAAAACATTCTTTACAGAACTAGTAAAAACAACACTAAAATTCATACAGAATCAGTAAAGTCCCAGAATAGACACAAAAATCCTGAGGCAAAAGAAAAACAAAGTATCTGCAATAATGGATTTCAACTGGTAATATTACAAAGCTATAGTAACAAAACAACATGGTACAGGCACTAGAACAGACATGCAGACGAATGAGATAGAACAAAAGACAGAAACAACCTCATGCACATATAGCCATTTGGCTTTTGACCAAGGGGTCAAAAACATGTTAGAGAAAAGATAGCCTCTAACAAACTGCTTGAAACTAGATCCCTATTTCTCACTTTGTACTACAATCAAATCAAGCTGTGCATGGTGGCACACATCTGTAAATCTGGAAGGCTGGCAAGACCGCTGCCAAAAGTTCAAGGCCAGCCTGGAATACATAGTTGAGTTCGAAGTCAGCCTAAACTAAACATAGTGAGACCCTGCCTCAAAAAAGAAAGAAATAAGAACTTCTAATCAAGAGATCAAAGACCTAGTCATAAAAACAGAACTCAACACTTGAAGCCACAGGCACACGCAAAAACTTGAATAGAATTCTGATAGAACAGGAAACAATATCAAGACTCAACAAATGGGATTAACCAAATTAAAAAGTTTTGGCTAGCAAAGAAAACAATGAACAATGAAGAGACAATCCATAGAATGGGAAAAAATATTTTGATAGCTAGTCTTCTGATAGAGGACTACTATCTAGACTCTATAAAGAATTCAACAAAATTAACCCCTCAAAACAGAAGATCACTTTTAAAAAATTGGCAATAGCTGAGTATTGTGGCACAGGTCTGTAATCCCAGCTGAGGAGGAGGATTATTGCAAGTTTGACACCAGCCAGGACTACAAGTGAGCACACGGCCAGCCTGAACTGCAAAGCGAGAAACCCCATCTTTAAAAAAAAAGGCAAATGAACGAAACAGACTTCTCAAAAACAAGAGCTAAGGACCATTAACTATGTAAAAATAAAATTCAACATCTAGTGATTAGGAAAGTGCAACTCAAAACAACCTTGAGATTCCATCCTATCCTAGTCAGAATGGCTAGCATCAGGAACACAGAAACAATGAACAGCGGCAAGGATAGGGAAGGAGTCTTCCTACATTGTTGGCAGGAATATAAATTAGTATACACTACATAAATCAATATAGACATTTCTCAAAAAACTAGAAATCATTTTGCCCAAGTATTCTTGAAAAATTAAAGACATTATACTATAGTGATACACATATACCTACATTTACAGTGGTGCAATTAAGAACAGCTTATCTTTGGAAAAAGTTGAAATGCCTTCCAACACATAAATGAATAAAGAAAATGTGTATACATACAATGGAATGTTAATCATAAATAAAAATAAAATCATCATTTGCAGGAAAATGGATTGAACTTGAGAAATGATCAAAGTTATTCAAAACATTAGCCAAAGTAATTAGACAAGAGAAAGAAATAAATGCCATAAGAACAGGAAATAAGTAAAATTACCATTATTTGCAGATGACACGATACTCTATCTAGAAGGCCCCAAAAATGCTATGAAAAGACTTTTTAGATTTAATAACCAAATTTAGTACTGTAGTTGGATAAAAAGTCAACACTCAAAATTCAATAGCATTCCTATATACAAATGACCACCTCACTGAGAAAGAGATAAGGGAAATACCTTTCACAATAGCATCCAAAAATCTGAAAATAAAGAATCAATCTAAAAAAGAAAGTAAAATGTCTCTATGCTGAAAACATAATACTCTGAAAAGTGATATAAAAAAATAGAAAGATAGGCCTTATTTTTATGGAGGGAGAACCAAGATAGATTTAATGTAGTCCTGATCAAAATTTCAATAGCATATCTCACATAATTTAATCTTAAAATTAATTTAGAACCGAGACTTCCGGGAGAACATGGCGGATAGATAGCAGCAGCTTCGGAGGCTGAGAAACTGCACTTAAAATCCAGGAATGGTGCCGGGCAAGAAATCCTAAGCAAGGGGAGACATACTTTGCCAACCCAGAAATGAACTAAACTAAGAGAAACTAACTGGAAATGCAATCCCGGTGATACAACAGGAACAGATAAGGTCTCAGCGCAGAAGCTGGACCCCACACTGCTGGAAGCTGCAATTTGAATTTCCTGCAGCTGCTGCTGCGGCGTCCCAATCGGCGCGGCAAGGAGAGAGGCACGAAAGTTCTAAGAGTGGGAAGCTGTGAATGGAGTTGAGAGTGGGACTGGCCGGGAGCCCTGCATCGACCTGTGGTGAGTGAGTGGATCGGGGATCCTTCCAGTAGAGTAGGAGGCTTCAGTAAAGGACATATTGGGATGGGGCAGACTAGCCGGAACAGGTTGTTGCAGTGACTTCAGTCACATATTCCCCTCTCAAGCGGGATTCGTGGGGAGTGCCTGGCCTGTGTGACACCGCTAAGACCCAGTAGGCTAGCCCAAACCAGATCCCAGCGCCTGGAGGTGCACCCTAGCAGTGAAGCCTTTGGTAGGTTGACCTGGAGGGGTGGGCCTAGCATAGGCTGCCCAGGTCTCTGTCTCCCTAGTACACTGCAGTGGGCGGGAACACCTAGCCGGTGCAATTCAAACAAACTGTAACCCACAAAGAAAGAAATTGGGCCTCCTATATTCACTTGTATAAAAGGAACAAAAAATATGGGAAGAAGGAGCAACAAGAAAGGGTCCTCGGTCCCCAATCCTGAGAAGCATGCAATATCGGACACGGCACCAATAGACATAAAGCGCTATCTCCAGTGCCTCATAGTTCAGGAATGAAGTTATTAACAACCTGAAGCAAGATATAAGTAGCATAGTTAGAGAAATGCTGAAAATACCGCCCAAGAAAAAACAGATGGTGGAGTGGAAGAACAGAAAAAAAAGGGGAGAATTGTTTGATGGAGAAAATAGAGAAAACACAGAATACGCGAAGCAGATTCAAAGAGATTACCAGGAAACTAAAAACTCTATCGAAAACTGGCATAACAGCTTGAAAGAAACTAAGGATCTGAACTGGAGGGCAGATTTGTAATATGGGAGCATGAAATGAAAAACTTCTTAAAAATAACAAAAAAACAAACAGCAACTATACAAAGGCTAGAAGATGATAAGAGGATCTATAAATTAAGAATTAAGAACATAAAAGAAGTAGGGACACAAACAAATGGACTACAAAAGCTATTCACAGAAATAATCCAAGAGAATTTCCCTAACTTAGCAAATGGTAAAGATACTCAGATGTGCGAGGCATACAGGACCCCAACCACCTACAACCCAAACAGAGCTACACCCAGGAATATAATAATCAAAATTCCAGAAATCCAATATAAGAACAGAATATTAAAAGCCGTCAGAGACAAGAAACAGAACACTTACAAGGGAACACCCATCAGAATTACAGCAGACTTCTCAGGACAAACCATCAAATCACGAAGAGCATGGGGGGAAATAATTCAAGCTTTGAAAGATAACAACTTCCAACCAAGATTGATATATCCTACACAACTGTCCCTAGAAATTGATGGAAAAACAAGGTGCTTCCAGGATAAAGAGGAACTAGGGGAATTTGCAACCACCAATTCAACTTTACAGAGAATACTGCAGGATATTCTGAAAAAGGAAAATACCAAGATTCCAGAAATAGTGGCAGAAAGGCCACAATGAATGGAGCAGAAAGCGAAATGAAGAAGACAAACTGACAACAAACGACAGAAAAAGAGCTCAACAGAAATGAGGCAGAGAAGATCGGATGGTAGAACAGCTATTTTGGAGAGAACAAGACATCATAATAGCTAGTGC